ACGAAGCTCGCCGTTACGCTGATCAAGAATATGTTGAATTTGCGTCGTTCCGTCAGCGAATGGTACCACACCGGGGCATAGATGGACAGGAAACGTTCCGATGACAGTATGATCGACAACAGATTACTGAAAGCAGAGAACATATCTGCCAGAGCAAATGCAACACCGACGAACTTGGTGGCGGTTGCAGAAAGAGCGAGAAAATCTGATCCATAGTAGTACAGCACGTTAGCGATCAAATTGATGGAATTGTAAGCCAAGTCTGAACCGCACATCGTCATCATAAATCGTGCAAAGCTGGAATGCCTGCGGTAGGTTTGTGACGAAAGGGTCAGCAAAGAGAGGACGATGCCCATGGTGCCGAACGAGCATATGAAAATCGACGACAAGGTTTCGACCTCCTCGGCTTGATCCAAAATTTCAGAACTGTGCTTAACAATTTCTCGGAACCTATGGTATCGACTGCCACTGTTGTAGCTTTGGTTGACCGGAAAGTCTGAATCATTGACGTTGGCCATGTTTTAAGAACCTCATGGAATGACAGTTCCAAAGCACTTCGCTAACTTTTTTCCAGTTACTGGCGTGCGTACCTCTATCATAACGAACGACCAATGAAAAGCTCATGTAAGACTTAGCGATTAAACGCAGATCGTATCCTTGGTATGTGGGCTATCCTCCTACATTGATAGCGTCTGTCATCGCTACTTCATCGCAATGAAACACCACGCAAAATGTAATGAAGTATTTGAGAATGAGTGAACTGAAAATGAATTCAACCATGGATATTGTCAATCATGCAGGGGGTGGATCTGATTAACTTTGTCGCAAAGTCATCGAGTTGTAGAAATTGGACGTGTTTGCTGACTCTTAGAGATACGGAACTGGAAGCATATATTAAAAGAAATTCGAATTTCCTGCAGGTGGTGATTAAGAACTAATCATACTAGTTCAGTAAGTTAGTTTCTATGTTACTGAGCAGAATCGTGAAAACAATTTCATGCTATTTTGCATAGAGCCGTTGCCAGTGATGCTGGTAGTACTTAGCTCGGTTTCCACTAATGCAGTGAAGCGAAAGCAGCAAGCAGCGAAACGGACTGAAAGGACATTTAAAAGCCGATATAGTTAATTAATTATTAATTCTACTGTCAGGTGAGTGGACTATGTGAAAATTACATGCATCAATCTGCTGGACATTAATGACATAGCGGTACTCCTGCCGGGAGTTTCATCTTAATTAGCACTAACGTAGCGGCATGCTATCACTAATTACGTGAGTCAAATATTCAGAAGACACGGCCATACCTTCATGTGACCAGGAGCACGAAGACGTGGCGCGGTTAGGCAACAATATTCAAGTTATCGGCATTTGGTATGACTACCGGACCAAAGTAAGATTCGCATAAGTTGAAATCACGAATATAGCTCTGCTTTTCATAATCACTGTAACAATATAATGCTCATAGCAATAGGGTAATATGTAATTGGCCATAAGAGAGAAGTGTTCTGTAGGGAACCACTCCGTATGGCAGGAGCAACGGAAATGTTTCCACTAACTAATTCATTAAATTGATATTGCAATTCTGAATTTTCTCAGAAAATGGAGTCCAGCCCTGAAAGGCACATCGTTCAGTGGGTGAAATGTTTTTCTTAGTTAGTTAGCCATGCTGTTAAGTATGATGAGGAACAACGAGTTTTGGATCTAGACAAGGAAAAAGGCAAGAGCACACAAACTTGCAGCGTCCATATCTAACCCAGAGGGTTTTCGCAATTGCCCTCTTCCTTACAGCTCGGAAGACAGCAGTTAGGAGGAACCATGAGGCACAACTTCGCCAAAAGTGGAAAAAAGAGGTTATGCGGTTCAGGAAGTAGACCAATGCGAGTATCTCTGATTCGTGATCTCCAATGATTATACAATCTAAGAACACTAAAATGGAAATATCGCCTTAGGTGTGAATGCGTTTGGAAACCTGTCCGATATTTGAGCTGAGAAAGGAGCAGCACTATCCATAAAAATTCGTTGGTACCTTGCTTCTGTAAGGTAAGTAACGTTATACAACATGAAGACGGTTCTTCTGACAAAGGAGCAAGAAGGATGGGTGATCTGCGTACAGCAGCTTTGGCGTCGACGCAAAATGAGGGCTAACTCGGAGTGCGACTAACGGTGCGATACTTCGGCAGTGAGCATAGATGGCCTTACTACATATGGCGATTTAAAAAAGGTTAGTACTTTTATACAAAAGGGTTGAGTACCAACAGATGTAACTGTAGCCTGTCAGCTTCTCTTGTAGTAGACATCTGACCAAACAGGAGAATAGGATGTAGCATTGAGAAACAAGGCTGAAGCAGCGCTGCTTCAGGACATGTGTAGTGCCCTTGACGATAAACCGAAGAGGTTGTGCTAATGCAAACGGCTAAAGGTGTTAATCTGAGACATGGAGGACTAAATGCCACATCTATCTGAAGTGGTTAAAGTCGACTTGTTCCCACATAACCGAAGCAATGCTCAAGTTACCGTAAAGTCCTCCAATAACTGAGTGCAAGAAACGACCGATGCCCCTTTGGAACTTCAGTCACAGGTCCATCGATTGTTGAGAGCGTGACAAAGTCAGGACCTTTTCAGTCAGAGTTTCTAATCGCTTCCTACTAATTCGTGTTGGTAGTGTGAGATATGTACTAAATATGAGGTCACATATAAAGTGTGACACTGATCGAAACATCTAGAAATATAATTCCTGACTTAGATTCAGCTAAACAGTTCTGAAAACCCCGAATCCGACAAACGCACCTCATCGAGTAGTTCTGTTGGAAACAAGAAATTCACGTGTGAAGCAGGAATATAGACGATGGATAGTGAAAATGGCTACATAAATTTAACTCGTAAATTAACAAGAGATGAGATATATTTTCGGCGGAAAATGGAGACAACAGAAAACAACATATCTGAACAAAAGAGAGCTAAGGAGATAATACGAAATACAACTCAATGTGCCTTGATTGCAGAAGCTTCCGTGAAACTGCGAAATAAGTAAACAGACAGACCTTCCATATCATCCTTCCAATAAATATATCACTCTTTTACTTATACACAATGTTTAAATTTCCTTAGTATTTATTTAATTAAACCGAGAGACCACCCCTACTTAGAGACAAAGAACATTTACTAATTCATTCAGAATTATTGTTTATTTAGACGTGTTATTATTTTGTCATCCTCAACGAAGGCTAACGGAATTTAAAGAGCGCAGTAACTCAGATCTACAGAATTTAGTCTTTAGAAGTCATGTTTCAGAGTAATCACGCAATGTTCATTGCTGCCGAAAAGGACTTTTCATCTAGAACAGCAGGCACGATATAACGAAATGTTTTGTACTGCCCTTCAGCGTGTCTGTGGCAACTGCAAGGT